TGATTACAGACCTGTTGGTCTAATTTATGTTGCTATGAAGGCATTGGAGCATAGTTTAATAACCTTGACTTTATATACAACTGGGGGAGGCAAACATCTTTGTCTGTGGGATAATCAAAGACGGAAGCTTTTCGCTTCTGTGGAACAAAAGACGATTTTTTTCAGTCAAATAGCTCCAATGTTGTCTCCAATGCTACAGAATGATGAATTTCACATGTTAGCGAGAGACTAGTAGCCTGGTAATACCAAACTCTACTTTGCTTTGCTTCGTAGACAAAGTCTAGAATGGCATAATTGAAGTGTTTTCTCACCTTTCAAGATTAGTTGTTTACTTACAATCTTTTTAACGACATTTTGGATAAACGGTCAACTAAATAAGACTTATTTGTGAGAGTGTGGTGATCTTAATGACTAAAGAATCCATTTTCAGTAATGGGGACACTTGCTGAGCACTTGCAACTGTGCACAGTAGGAAAGGCTCTTTTATTATGGCTCGACCTTTCCACTCGCTTGACACATGTCAATTTAAAACAATGCAGACCCTTAGTGGCTAAGCCTAGTGGGATTGTTAAAATATGGTCCAATCAAAAATGGGTGATGTAATATGTTTAAGGTCACCGTGTGCAGTACACAACTCTGTGATTAATCTCAAATGATGTAGCCATTTAATATATCTTGGTGTTGCTGGCTGGTTATTACCTAAATGGCACATTACCATAATTGGAAATCTAAAAGGAAGCAGAGCAGCCAAAATTAAAAGTTATTATTAGGCATATACCCTCGATCTCTGACATATAGTGACACGCACATGTGATTTTGGAAAATAAGGGCAAGTAATTTGGAGAACACATTCACCTACCTTTCTTATACCATCACCATCTTGGGGAACCATATACGTGTTTAATGGAGAACTTGATGGTTCATCAAGCTCAATAGATCATGGGCAACAAACAATTTTAATTTTGCATAACCGAGTTGAACTATTGAGATTGACATGGCCAGTATAAGCATATATAATCGTGATTGAGACGATAATAATGAAGATAACAGTCACAGCATTTTTAGCACAATGAACAATAGTGTGTTGAAGCACAATGAACTGTAATGCAGGAAAACATAACAGTGATGAGTTGTTTCCGCAACGGAGATTGATTTGGCCAGTATTAGCATATATAATATAGATTAAAGGGGTGGTTGATTATGATTTCATTTTCGTAACTTTAGTAAGTGTGTAATGTTGCTGTTTGAGTGTTAAAACATCTGCAAAGGTATGACACTCAAAGTTCAAGGTAAAGGGAGATATTTTCTTTTTTTAAAGGAAGTCTCTGAGTTTTTGCAGAACTATGCCCCCTCTGGCGACAAAGCGAAACTGAAACCAGAGGTGTGCACGCTCATGGATCAGACATAGCCAGGCGAGCGTGATGTCACGCCCAGTCTCAAATTCGAGCCCGAATCCCTCTTATTTATTTTACTGTACACGATTATAGAGGCGATCGCAGTGATCAGAGAAGGGCTCATTCAGCCCATCAGGCGATTGTTTAAGCATGTATGGGTTAGAAAAACGGCTATTTTTAACATGTAATGTTGCGCAATGCACCTTTAAGGACTACAACAAACGGCTGCTCCTCCCTGGTTAGTGACATCACCAACCCTAAAATTTACATAAACCCCGCCCCCAGAACACGATTTATACATTTATCATGACCGAATATTCTACTCAATGACAAGTAGATAACTATATAAGCTATAAATTCTTCAACTAACCATTCAGAAATGTTGTTTACATGTTGTCTCTCCATCTTTCTGACTTTAAAAGTTTTTGAAATTTTCAGTGCTGTTGTAGCTCCGCCCTCTGCGCCGGGGCACGTTTGCATATACAGAAAACAGGACAGACTCAAAACGAGGTGTTTTTGCTCACCCTCAAAAAGTGACAACTAACATGCTATCTGTGGGGTATTTTGAGCTAAAACTTCACATACACACACACACACACACACTCTGGGGAGATTTATTTAACATCTCGTGAAAAGGGCGCGTGATGACAGGTGATAAGATGACACTACCATGATAACGGCAGCATGTGAAGTCTTTACAAATTGTTTATGGGCTTATGTTTCTATGTTTATTTACGGTTTTGTGTTTTTGTTGACTATTAGGGTTATGATACAATTGTTTAATCAGGTTCTTTATTCTATAACATGCATTTATAATAAGTTTAAGATTTGTTTTCCTTTGGTTGTTGATTGCACTTTGAGTCAAAAGTATATTTGTTGTTGTAAATATTTTTTAGGGTTTAATTTAGTTATTTTTTTCTTTGACACATTATTGTGAATATGTGCACCCCTCCTACTAAAAAGTCCTGAGCCCATCTACCACCTCCCATTGGGGACACGTTATGACCCCTTTAAGACAGTTTAATTCAGTTCAATTCAATTCGCATTTATTTGTATTTCTCAATACACATAATTCCAAAGCAGTTTTACAGAAAAGTCCACATTATCATTTAGATTGATCTGTTATCAGAGGTAACTCTCTAAGTTATGTATTTGAGAAATGTACATATGTGACCCTGAACCACAAAACCAGGCTCACATGGGTCAATTCTTTGAAATTGAGATTTATACATCACCTGAAAGCTGAATAGATAAACTTTCCACTGGTGTATAGTTTGTTATGATAGGACAATATTTGGCCGAGATCTGGAAAAGATAATCTTATGAAAATCACCTTGAAAGTTGTCCATTTATGTTCGCGATTGTGCTGCGTTCACTCACAAAAATAAATATTTTCGCTTTGGATAAAAAAACATCAGCTAAATGAATAAATATAAATGTAACTGATCACTGTTATTTTTCCCCCATAACAAAGTTGACCTACAGTAGAAAGTTTTTACAGTGTGAATGTTATCATTATCTGAATCCTTAATCTGAAGTAATGTCAGGAGTGCAGCAAGGCTCTGTGTTAGGTCCTCTGCTGTTTTCAATTTATATGCTGCACTTGGTAATATATAATAAAACGTGAGATAAATTTCCACTGTTTTGCCGATGATAATCATATTTCATCACGACCAGATGAATTCTCTCTCCACAAAAAGAAATATTTTTGTATATTTACGGTAGGAAATTTTGACCCATACAATGTATTCCCACAAATATACCTGTCTGACTTGTGATTCGTGGTCCAGGGTCACATATACAAAATCACAGTTAGCTAAAATTATTAATTTAAACAACGTAATAATTTAAGGCAGGAACAATGAGCTCATTGAAGTAATGAATACTTGTTTGGAAACAAATAATTATGACATATAGAAAAATGTAGCATTGGTGCGTGTTGATTCAGAGTTTGCTTCATCTGAAGTCTTCGCAGGAGTTGGACATCTGAACTCTTCACAATAGACTGGATCCAAACTGGAGCTGACAAACTCCAGTTTCTCAGGATGGGCGTCCCGAGATAAAACAGAGAAGCAAACAGAAAATAATTAGCATAGCTGCTGTTCGTGACATTAAGCAAAAATAATCATGTGCATTTGATCTGATATAGCTGGAGTATTAGGTTATGAGATGCATTATATGAATGCTAAGCTAAAGAGCTGCGTCTTTAATCTAGATTTAAACTGGGAGAGTGATTCCAGAGTTTATGAGCCAAATGTGAAAACGGCCTCCCTGCTTTAGTGGACTTGCGTAAATCTCCTATACTACCAGAAGCCCAGAGTTTCGTGACCATAAAGAGCATGATGGATTGCTAAAGCGTTTAGGGCCTTCTAGGTCAGTAGCGATACTGTAATTGATACAGAACTTAACATGTAACAAGTGTAGAGATGATAAAATTGGTGTCATATGATCATATTTTATTGACACGTTAAACTCAAGCAGGTGCAGAGCAACCAGCTAATATAGCATTACAGTAATCAGGTCTCAAGGTCATGAATGCATGAACTAACTTTTCTGCATCAGAAACAGATGGCATGTTGCGTACTGTAGCTCAGCGATGTTTCTGAGGTGGAAGAAGGCAGTTTTTGGAACATGAAATAGGATTTTCGAAAGATAAGTTGTGGTCTGGAGTCTAAGAGAGTATGTGTAAAGGTTTTAGGTCCAATTAGCAATACCTCCGTCTTATCTGAATTTAATAGAAGAAAATTACATGTCATCCAATGTTTTATATATTTAACACACTCTGTCTAATTTGATAATTTAAAGAATGCATCTGGTCGTGATTAAATATGAGTATCATCGGCATAACAGTGGAAGTTAATTTCATGTTTTCTTATATATTACCAAGTGGCAGCATATAAATTGAAAACAGCAGAGGACCTAACACAGAACCTTGCTGCACTCCATACTTTACTGACATTATCTTAGATTAAGGATTCAGATAATGATAACATTCACACTGTATGTCAACTCTGTTACGGGGAAAAAATAACAGTGGTCAGTTGTTTCCATAACAGTTTAACTATTGTGATATGTATATGTATATGATTAAGACAGTATAATGATAACTCTATGTTTGGTCAACTCTGGTTATGGGGTTGAACAGAGTTGAACTATGTAGGTAGTATTATGGCAAACAAAATGAATTATACAGTATAATTGTACGCTTATATGTTCCTCATCAGGCTGTATAGTTAAACTCTGCAATGGAAAAAAAATGCAGTGATCATAATATAAAAATATTGACCAATATGTGCTGATCTTCAACTCTGCCACCTTAAACCCTGAAAGTGTATGAATGCTACAGGGTTGGTCAAAAAAGAGAAGTGTAATGTACTTATAGATACAATTTGTGATTGATTACAAGACACATAATCTATTAGAATTAAATAAACTTGAAATAATGTTTTGTTCATGAATCATTCATTGAAAAACCATTGTAACTAAAATCGAAGGTTGGACTTGGTCACCCAAGAAAAAAGATAAATGATGTGAATAAAAATGTATGTGTTTAATTAAAAAACAACAGTAGAAGCATGCAACTGCACAATAAAACATCTCCAGACGTCGTTTTCACAACAAAAATTTATTAGAAGAATAGTGGTTTTCATAAGAAGGTTCTAGCATCCAGTGAATACTAACTTGCACAATGTTACAATTAAAATGTGTTGGAAAAATGGCATTTTTTTTTTCCTAATGGGTAAAATATAACCAGTAAAACTTCACACATGCACAAAGACGGATCTAATCAGCATTTTGCTTAACGGTCAATGCAAATAAAAAGAAAGAGAAAACTTTTTTTTTTTTTTGTTTTTAAATTAGACCACAGAAAATCTAATCAGTTTTTTCCTTTTCATTTTTTTTTGACATTTTTTTTTTAAAATCACATACATTAGGAGACAGCTTATTATTCATTAGGCCAGCTTAAAAAATAAGAATTTGCATTCAAACGGAAAACAAAACAAAACAAACAAATAGTGCAATCAAACAAAAATAATTGTGATCCTCGTAAGTGCTCTAACACGGACATCGATAATAGTCTAGAATAAAAGTCAAACGCACAGTACAAAAAAAGAACAAATTAATATACATAAATAAATCTACAGTACAAGAAAATATTAAACTATACAATGTTTTTTTTTTGTCAAAGAGTAAACAGTATATATTGAAATGAGGTCTATTCCAGTTTTGAAGCGCCTGTCTTCCAACAATTGGACTGACTCGGAGGAACCAGCGTGTTACAGGGCAAGATGCCGTTAAAAGTACTCGTTTCGATCTAGATGGTCTGAGGTATATCGAAAAGAGAGAAGATTCGGAAAAAGCAGCACCTTTTCCCACACCGGCAAACCTGCGCGTTTTAAAAACCGTTTCCGTCTTTTATTAAAAGAGTTAACATGTAAGTATTTCATTTTTTTTATGCCTTACATCAGGCCTGAACTTTTCAATCCAAGCCCACGTGTGGAAAACAACAAAACCACTGCCAATTGTCAGGCATCATGATCGAAAACACACGACGACATGAACAACAGGAATGTTTTCAAATCTGAAGGAAAACAACAAAAACTTCACACCGAGACTAATTAAAGAGTATTCTTCACACTTACCGCTGCGTTAAAATGATCCGGCTTTAACATACACGACTCCTGTGCTCGTCTTTCTAATAATCTTTATAATCAGCCGGTTCACACACCCTTGGTGAAGTATCTTTTGACAAGAACAGTAGGCACCGAAAAGCTCAAATAAAACATATTGAGAGGCAGTTTCTTCAGGCAGTTTCTTCGCTGAAATACTTACATGCTAAAAGCAGAGACCGAAACTATCAATTACCGACCGCAAATGTGAAAGATCAGGCCTGGTGTTGTAGAGGTACGTCTGTATAGGCGTGAAGAGACCGGTCGACCACTATCATTAAGGGGTCTGATGTGGTGTTTGTCGCTATAGTGTTGTATTGTCTTCAGGCATTTGAGGCACAGTGTGTGCAGAGGAAATTGTAATGAAAAGCACTGTCCGGCTGAGGGTCGCTCTTCACCTGAAGTTTCAGCTTGACATTCATTTAGTAACTTGTACTTAAGTCTGAATACGAAGAATACAAAAACTAAAAAGGACAGAGGAAAAGAAATTAAGTGACAACGGGTTACAAATGACTCTTGTCATAGCGACCGTTTTGTTTTGCTCAATTCGTTAAAAAATACGTACGTTTTTTTTTTTTGTTGTTGTCATATTTTAACAGCTAGGCCGCAGAATCTAACGAAAGTACCTGAATAGATTGAATCAGTGTCGTTCGTCCCTGAGGGATTCGTAGTTGTGGCTTAATAATAGGATTTAAGATAAGATAAATAGAGAAATGCTTTTAAGGAACGTATTTTTCTTATATCTTCACAGATGATCAAGAAAACAACTACTTTGTCTTTTCAGGCTTGCCTTCTCAGAAATCGCATGATTTAAGTGTATTACGAAATGGTTTATTCTCAAAACGCACGAGTAAAAAGCGCAAAAAATAAAACCTCAAGCAATTCCACACACTCATACAGAACCAGCTCACAGCCACGGAGACGTTTCACTTCGCACGAGAAATTATAATAGTATTAAACATCGTTATCGTTAAGAAAAAGTAGTTGCAGCAAAGCACACCCAGGGGCGCATTTCCTCATCGTCACGAATGAGGATGATTTTAGGACATCGTCCGATGGATCCAGTGTTTACAAATGATTTTGACCATCCGACTTCGAAACTTAAATTGCATTTACACGTAGCAAGCAAAAAATAACAAGCAATACCGTAAAACTTGGCTTATAACCATTTTTTTCACGGGGAAAGTTAATTTACATCGCCAAATGATGTAACAATAAATACTTTAAAATCACTCTGGTTTTTCAACCAGAAAAAAAAAAAAAAAGATCAAATCGAATCGCGAAGTTGGTTCGAGACTATATACACATCCACCTTAAAAAGTTTGCGTTTCCTCTTAATATATATATATATATATATATATTCTGTTTGTACAGTATTGTGGAAAAACACAACTGTTTGCACCACAGCAGCGTTAAGATGCCTTACAATAACTTATTTTTTGTTTAGCTCACTTCAAGACTAACTACCATTCCAGTATGTTTACAGAAAAAGAAACGTGTGAGCAAATGAAAACGAACTATACAAATGCCGTATACTGGAGTCTAAATATACTGCACTGAAATGTTTGTTCCCTGAATCAAACGAGGAAGAGATTTACATCTCTTTCCAGAAGATAAGTATATAACTATACAGAACATTATATACAATGCACTGTGACTGTTGAGTGTATACATATATTAATATAATAATCTATAGCTTGTCCTAAAGTATGTATAGTAAGAGTTTCAATTTTGTATTATTTTTTTCCCCCTACATTCAGTTTAGCTGATAACGAAAACGAATGATGAAAATACGCCTGACGAACGCGTAAACTATGGCTTATGTTCAACAGACAACCCCTAAAAGAAGACAGAGCCCACTTGGCTAGCCACACTTGGAGCCAAAACTTAATTTACGTTATACGAACTACACTTAGAAAAGTGTTTGTGCCATGTTAAAATTTTAAGTTTACGCAACTCAAATATCCATGTCACAAACTTAACATTTCATGTTGACTGAGCTTAAAATTTAAAGGCGGCACAAACACTTTCTTTTTGAAAGTTGAAACAACTAATTCTTTTTCAGTGTAGAGCAAAAACATCTGATTTATTACTGTTCCTCTGAAATGGACCGGAAAAAATAAGTGTCTTCCCTTCCTAAAATAGCATTCACACTGTCATGATAAAAACGCTGGAGGTCACGAGGTTGCCGTAGCGTTGGACGTTTCAACTCAACCACAGTATCCAACTGAATCAGGTGACAAATCACAGTCTAAACTCCCATTGGTTGTCACCTCGTCACTACGCATTTGCATAAAGTTGAATAGCTCAACTTTGTAGCATCATCAACAGTCTGATCATGATGCCTCAACTCTCATAAAAAAAACCCAGAGTGACTTGCAAAGTCCCGTCAGTGTGAACGCCGCCTTAAGTTGTCAAGTACACGACTGAATGATGAACGGTTCATGTGTTCCATGAACTAAAAAAACAGACATGAATAGAAAGTAATGAAACCTCCACAACATATAATGGGCAGTGAAACGATAGAAGAAGAAACGTCCGTGAAAGGTGGGGAGGCAGTGAACAGGGCTCTATCTACATGTGGAGGCTGTCAAGATTTACATGGATTTATTATCTGAGGTATTCTGCGTTGTAAGGTTTTTTTTTTTTTTTCCTTTTAGTTGAAACATCATCACACATTGTACAGACATCAGAAACAAAATAGTCTTTGTGGCCTTGTGGGTCTCGAGGGACCGAGCAAAAGATCTAAAGTTAGAGCGTCCATTTTTGTTTCCTCAGGTAATTCGTACTTTACAATCCTCGCTGTTAATAAAGCACTGAACTAAGGATATTTGGCTGAATCTTTTCAAAATGCGAAAGGCGGTCTGATAAGGACGTCGAGTCGACCTGCTTTCTTCGAAACTCACTTTCAATGGGACTTAAATCACGAGTATTGCCTTCACCACTCGAATCGTTTCGTATTGCAACAAAAATCGAACGTTTTTTTTGGACCACTACACTGGTGGGATTCTGCATTAAGAGGGGTAACTTCTCAAAACTGGTGAAAGAAATGGAACGTAAAGGCAAGCGTTTTTGATCAAAGTTTTAAAATCACAATATCAACAGTATTAAGAAATATAGAAAAGGTATCAATCTTTAGCCGAGCCTAATCATTCCAGTCTCATGCAATAACCTGAGGCGGGGGTCACGGGAGAAGGGATCCAATCGTCATACCGCACTGAATGCCGAACCTTTACAACGTTAAGACTCCACTCTGAAAATGTTTACCAAAGTACTTTGAACACAGTCGAACAGATAGCAAAAGGCATTTTTGCTCCATAAAGCTTCGACTCCATACATGGAAACCCCCCCCCCCCCCAAAAAAAAAAAGTGCAGCACAGCATCCCGTCAAGAGATAAGATGTGCGCCATAAACGAATGCGATTGCAAAAACAAAGATACTGCCCACAGACTGCATTTGGCTTGAATTTCAAGGGCACAAACTCCTATGGTATGGAATGACTCACAACGACGCATTCCCAACTTTAGAGGTGATCGGTCGACCTGATATTCCTCCCAAACACTGGACTTAGAAGCAGTCAAGATGCATAACTTAGGACATTATGGTCCAAAAAGAGCCATTACCTCGATCATAAATGTGGTTTATTAGGTACACATATGTGCATGCGGAATGTAGAACTGCTTTCCGACAGAACGGGACCGCGACTTTTGGAACGACGAGCCAGTGTTTTCCGTGCATCTGAAATGCTACATACAGTACGGCGGGTAAGCCGATCAAACCGCAAACACGTTTTTCCCACAACCTGATCGGCAAAAGCCTTTAGGGACAGTCCGTCCCTCAAGATACAAGTCATTTTTGCTTTACTACCAATGTCAAAACCATCTGCAAGTTGAGGTAGCAAAACTAATAACCCTAATCCCGCAGAACTCAATGGACTGCAGGGTTGAAACAGTCATGGATGAGTTTAATGGTCAAGAGCAGATCCAACACGCATTACAGAAAGAAATGGCATAACTCCCAACACGTTTCAATCTAATATTCTCTTTGTGTCCCGCCAAATAATCTAGAAAAGGTACTAAGGAAAGAAGAATTTGGTCTACAGTTGATTGTAGACACTATGGTAGAAATCTCATATGAAATACTGAGAATGCACAAGCCAGGTGTAAAGGAAATAAAAACCGAATATGCAATTAGAATAGGCACACCTTTACTTGTGAATGATCTTGCAAGATTGTCATGGCAACACAATGGCAGCCCTTTAACAGCCAAAAGCTCTCAAGTTCTCTAGAAGAACGCTATTTCATCAAGCACATTTCGCTTTCATTTGCGTTTTCACAGGTCTACCTGACCTCTCACTGAGCTGGCATCCAGCATATTAAAAGCAACGGCTTCACTGTCATCCATACTAATGTTTCATTGTAGAGGTCAGGTGTTGACTTTTCATGGCTCTGTTCCATACAATTCACAGTTTCACTAAAACCTCTTTCATTTT